AATGCAGCAGTGCTTAAGACTGAAATTTGCAGCCAGATCTCTGCACAGTTTCTCATATGTGGATCTCCTGCAGAGGTATCTAGGCACAGAAGTGCCAATGTAGACCATGATTTTATGTTACAGCTACTGATAATAACTGGAACTGCTCTTCCAAAAGCTCTAATGCACTGGGAGGCAAGAAGGAATGTGGTTTGGCAGGCAGAGTGGGCCTGATTCAACCAACTGCTTATGTGTCACTGAAATCAATGCTGCTATTTAGGGGCTTAATTGCTTTGCTGAATCCAGGCCAAAGAAACAAAAAGCAAGATGGTTAAGCTGCAAAGCTTCGATATATATCTTAAATCTTGAACACTTACATCCTTTATCAATATTATGATTCTCCCCAACAATTCAGAGTTGTTCAGAAAAATTTCAAAGAAAACACATGCCTTACTTTTTGGCCCTGACTTAGCTAACATTTTGGTGTACCATTATTCATGCAGATAGCGCCATTTTCTTAAGAACAGAAAGACACAAGTGAAGTGCCACAACAGGCTGTTTTTGCAGGTCAGAGCTGTATTTAATATCTACAGCATTTAAGAATTCCTACCAAGGTTATACAACTGCTAGAGACATCTGGACCTAATACTGAAATGTTCCTATTGCAATCTGTGTGTGCGTGAATATTCTTGTGCCAAAATACTTATTTAAAACTGTCTTTAAAAGAAAGAACAATAAGTTCAAGGAGTTATAATTTTTTTCAGTTGTTTTTCTTTCAATAACAAACACACCTCAGACAAATAAAAATTAACAGTTTCAATACCAGTGTTTAAATAATGCTTTTACTCACTGGTTAGTCAGTATCCATAAAGAATAGCTGCATTTGCCCTAATTAATGTCCCATTTCCAGGAAAGGCTTTAATTAACATCTGACATTCAAGCAGCACTACAATGTGGTGTGTAATTATCACCTGGCCTACTTCGGTGTGATTCAAATGCTCTTGGAGAAAGAAATGCTTTTTTTTCCTCTGAAAGTTTTACAGAATGGAGTAGCAACAGAGACTTAAGGAAATGAAGGAAAGAAAGCCAGATCTTCAAAGAGATTTAGAGTGGAGTTTTCCAGTACAATTAGCCCATCCCAGTGGCTGGCAGCCCCCTCAAAAGAGAGGGGCCCACTCATGCACCTCTCAGCTTTGCCCTGGGCTATCTATTTCTTACCCACTTCCTCTTCCCAAATTGGCAAAGCCCTGAATGCCACTGGAAGAGTCAGAACTAATAATAGAACTGAGCCCATTTGATAACTCAATGCTGCTAAAACAGAATGGTCTTCCTCCTCTGGTTTCCTCCATCTTCTTTCCCCTGCTTTGTGTCCCTCAGGCTCCACCAGCAGCACGCCAAGCTGGTTCAGTTCCTTAGCCCTGGAATCCAAAGAGAAACTAGTTGCTCTGCTAAAGCAGTTTCCTGGCAGTTGGGTGAGCTCAGCTGGCTCTCCCCTGGTTCTCACTCCCAGGATTGAGAAGGGAGAAGTGTGGGATCACCACCTCCCAGTGGAAGTCGGCTGGTATTTTGTCTTGTGAAATCAGCTCTTACCTTGTGTAGGATGGTACACCACAAACAAGCATGTTTTTGTACTGTATGTATTTTCTATCAGAAAATTAGTGTCTAATCAAATGACAGTGTTGGTGAAGTGAAAGGTAAGAGCATGTGGCAGGGACCTGATGACCCTTTTGGTTGATCTGAGGCCACTCTTCCCACAGTGAGCGGTAACCAGAGAGAGGACTTTGCAGAGCAAGAACATACTTCACTCTATCTGTTCAAGTTGCTTTAAATGGCATGGAAACATGGAACAGTTTAGGTTGGAAAAGACCTTCAAGGCCATAGACTCATACACTAACTTAAGTAGCTATTAATGTTTAAATATCTAGTATTTGCAGGGTCACTGAGAGTGTGAGCAAGTACCAAGCTGTGGCCATGCTGAACCTCTCTCCTGCTCTCTGGCCTGATGAATATTTCATTATGCTGTGTCAAGAAAAAGAGCTTTTAGCACATGGGCCAGGGCTCCTTTCCCTGAACTTCCCAACAATACACCACAGCCTCGTGAACAGAGCACCTTCCCCAGAGAAATGAGCTGGTTTGCTTTGGCAGAAGAGGGCCTGGGTGACACTTCCCATGCTGTGGTACAGAGGCAGGTGTTTCCTTTCCTCATCTTCCAGCCATGCCTTGCTCAGAGTCAGCTCTGCAGGAGGAGATCCTTAAACAATATGGACAGAGAACATAAAACCAACACATTGTGATAGGATGGGTAGGGAGCTGCCTGGGAAGAGCTGAGCCCTTTGCAGACACATCCAGTGACCGAATACTGTGTGAGAAACTGGCAGCTGTGGTACATGAAGTGAACAAGGGGCCGACATACAAGTACTGATACAGTTGCAGTTCTGAGGTACTCACGGTCCTGCCCTGTCCCCAGCCAGCCCCTGCCTAACAAAATCAAACCAAGTGTAACTTGGCACATGGGGCTGCATTTAGAAAGTGCAGCAGCCCTGGGGTATTTCAGATATCTGCAGTGAGGACAGGAGAGACAGCTGGGGTGGGAGTCTTGTTAGCTAACCTGATATAAATTGTCTCTTCCCATGAATCACAGCTGTCAGGCACCAATGGGATTTGGGGGCCTCTTGGGTGAGGCTGTAAGGAGAAACTGAATATTATGATTTTGGATCTAGAAATCTAGATTTTAGAAATATTTCAGAAATTTAGGAATAGAACACGTGTCCATCTTTTTATGTGGGTCTAGTCTTTGAAGTATATGTTACACCATCCTTTAGCCTGCCACACTTCCACACAGAGCAGATGATATTTGCTTCCTAAAAATTACATTCAAGGGACCCTTTATGAGCTGACTGTGGGCTTGTGTGTTGTTTAGTATCCAATAATTCCTGAGATCTAAGCCCAGATGTTGTCATCTATTTGTTCCATTGCTCTGAAAGGAGTTCATAAAAATAGCACCCAGGAGCTCTGTATCTATTGGAATTCAATATTTCAGTCTGGCAGCCTTGAAATCGAGAGTGAAGCATTGCTCTTTTAGCCAGTACATTGTCACCAGCTTCTGGGTCAGCAACAGGGAATGGCCACATTCCATATAATTCAGGTGGTGACCTGACAATCCTAGGTCAGTACTGCTTCAACAATGCAAGGAGAAAGTGTTATTGAAACCAGTGGAATTATGTGCAAGAATAAGAATAAGCAACTTTGCAGGATTTTACATTTTTTTCCCCTTTCTTTTTCTTTCCTATTGTACAGTCAAACATCCAGGGGACTAGTCACCATTCTGCTGAAGGTTACAGCCTGTCTGGTCTTTAATGTCTGTTTTCAAGGATGACCCCATCCACCTGTTCATTTTCCTACAAGCCTCATTCTTCACTCTGAGTGCATCCTAGTATTTTCCTTATGTCCTATATGACTCAAGGCAATAAAACCAACAATGAGGCAAACTGGTTTATGGATCTGCCGGTCCGGTTTGTGCTACTTCCAGCAAGCGCTGCTAGGTGGCAATATGTTACCTGGAAAAGCACGAGCTTCCAGCCGCCGTCGCCTTCCTCTGCTCCCGACCGTGCCTGGGCATCGCTCCGCTCCAAAGAGGGGACGGGCCCTTGGAGCAGGACCTGGTGAGAGCAGCTTCACTCACACAGATCTTTATTGAGGTTTTCCAGACACAACTCCAGGGCTGAATCCTACTGGAAAAATTCTTTGTGAACCCAAGAGGAAAAACAAGAGGCGAGTCTGCTTGTTGCAGATAGTGTTGTAAAAAGGAAATGGATCCTTCTATTGTATAAAGATAGCATTGCCTGGGACTAGACTATGTCATATTCTCGAGTTTCTGAATAATACAAAGTTGAAAGCACTTGTTCAGCATGTAAAACTTTTGTTTTACATGAATGAATAATTGAAATCCCTACACATTCAATCATAATTTTTAATGAACTGGGCCAATTTTGGAACATTTTATTGACAGCTGGGTTGAAAAACAGCTTTAATAAAGATGGAGAAGATATATTTTCAGTTACATATTTCAGCCATGCTACAAATACTTACAACTGAGTTGTCTTATGTGTATGTCTCAACAAGGACACAGAAAGACTGGCTCATATTTGCACAATGTTTTGAATTTGCAAAGCACTAAGCAATCTTCATTGAAACCATTTATTTCCCTTGATCTGGCTGCTGGCAAAACCGAGGGCAGGGCCGTGTGTGACAGTGCCATTTTATGCCAGCCTCAAGTTTACACAATTCCAGTTTGATGCCAGGGTAGCTTGCGGCATGCTCAGCACTTTGGCCCAGCTGCCAGAGCTGGATACAGGTGAGAGGCACCTGGAGCCGGAGAGGCACAGCGGCCAGGAGCAGGACAGCTGGAAAGAGCTCCCACTTAGGCTGACAGGTAAAATAGATGGATGTGAAAATGGGGAGCCCAGGTCTCTCCTTGTGGCGACGTGGGCAGGGAGCTGACATCTCTGCTGCTGCTGCGCGCCCCTGGCACAGCAGGCGGGGGCCCCGCCGCTCCAGGCTGGATGCTCCCGGCAGCGATTCCTATCCTCAGGCGAGAGCTCGTCCTGAGCCAGCGGAGAAACGAGGATCTCCAATTCCCCTGACTAGGACAGAAACACAGGGCTTGGTTTTCAGAGATAGAGGCGATCGGTGCAGAAAACAACAATAATGACGACCTGCTTATGTACTATTTAGCAACCTTGGAGCTGACAAGTATCGTCTGCTTCAAAATTGCCTAAATTCAGGCAGAGTTCTCGCTGTTAGGGGTCACGCCTCTATGGACGCGGTGTGAAGCCCTCTCCTACCGGCCCCAAGTCAGCCCCAGCTCCCGGGACCGCCGGACTCGGGGCTGCCCCGACACCGCCGGGCTCGGGGCCGCCCGACACCGCCGGGCCCGGGGCCGCCCCGACAGGCGGCGGCGGGCCCGGCCCGGAGGCCGCGGCCGCGGTTCCCGGCGGGGCCCTTTCCCCGCAGCACCGCCCATCTCCGCTGCTCCGCCGGCGCCGGGGCCGGTCAGAGCCGGGCCCAGGTCAGTGCCGGCCGCAGGGCTCCGTTGCCCCGGCCGCCCGCGGCCCTCGGGGGGAAAAGGGGCATCTGCGGGGGAACGGGGCCGCCGAGGCGGCGCGGGGACCCGGCAGCGTCCGGGGCGGGGCAGGCGCGGGGCGTCCCGGTCCCCGCGAGGCCTCGGGGCGCCCGCGGCTGAGGCGAGGTGGCTCCTTCGGTGCGGGAGAGGCCGGCGGTGCTTCTGCTCAGCCCTGACGCCTCGGGTCCCGCTTTGGAAACCGCCGGTCACCGCCCACTTCGGCCCTGCTCGGCACTGAGCCCTGCCTTGGCGGTTGTTTTAGCATAAAGTCATTTTGTTAAAAAAAAAAAGGTGTCAGAAAAGCTTCCCTAGGTCAGACTGCGATCCCAAAATCCCGGGATTTTGGCATCGCAGGTTAGCAGCAAGAAATGTCCCCTGGGGAAGTAGCTTCCACCCCTCGGTCTCTTGAATCTTGTCATCTTCCCATGGTACAGGGAGGTTGCCATTGCTTCCCGGGATTCAGTGTGTGGAACCAAGGAAGCCGGGGACAGGCAGTCCCGATGTGGTGCTGCTGGTCACCACTGCTGTGACAGGGGGACAGGAGAATCGTGGCTGCGTGGCCGGCTCGGACCTCGGTAAATGGTTGTTTTGGAGTTGGCAGGAGCATTTATGGGTGGTGGTGGTAAGGTGAGAATAGTAAAGAACAGTGAATTAAGTGGAATTCAGAGTACTTCTTGACTATAAAAGCTACACTTTTCAAGGCAACCATTGGGAAAGCATCAGTATTTGCAGTTACGGCAAGAATTGGATTCATGCATTTATGGTTCAGGATTTGGTGACTGAAAGGCAAATGATGAGTTGGTTGTGGTTGTTTCCGTTCATGTGAAGTTGTGCATCTGCCCTTCTTAAAGGTGCCTAAAACACACCTAGTGGGCAGTGAACTTAAAAGACTTTTCTGTCATTGTTAAAAAAGCTCCTTTGATGACATGTGTGAAGAGAACCTCTTTGGATCAAAGCATTAAAAAATAAAGGACCCGAGTGCTTTTTGCAGAATATAACAGATTCTTGCTCTCTGCGATGAAATTCAAAATCTTTCACTCACCATGGGACCAAAATCAAATGTTTTCAGGTAGTGTCATCTGTATTTATGGAAAGGCTTTCTTTGTCGGCTGTTTTGCATCCTTAAATACCATTGTTTCTCAGTATGTATCTTTGTGATTTGTTTACTGTTCTTCAAAATAATTAAGATGTAATTGAGAGAGAATGTAATTGTTTAGATATGGAAGGACAATTCACATCTAAACTCTAGCCTACAGGGCTCATTAAAAAACTAAATGAAGAACACATAGTTTGGAAAGCCGTAGCTTACTATGCCCAGAATTGAGCTGCTCAGAAACAATGAAATAACAAGAAAAAAAGAGAAAAACAGAAACGAGGTGCAAATGGTCAACCAGCTTAAAACTGAATCTACAGACAAGGGGTTTTTTTTACTTACAGGGTTAAAAGTTTTTTCTTCCTCCAGTTAATTTTTGTTTCCCTTGTACATTATTTGATGCTATTTCAGTTGGTTAATTTGGACATGGTCTCATTTCTTGTTTCTTCAGCTTCTGGATGGATAAACTTTGTTTCTAATGCTGACATCTAGAAAGTAGCAGGCCCAAATGTTTTGTTCTCTCAACTGTAATACAGAGGATACAAAATTGTCCTTGAAAATACCAGCTACTTTTAAAGCCTGTTTTTAGAGGAGTCATAAGGCTTTTCAAGTAACTTGATGAACTGGAGGGATTGTTGATCCTATCTAATTTGTCTACAGTGCAGGTACCAGAGACAATGTACTAAAATTTTGAACAGGGCTCAGCAAGTTTGAGAGCCATGCCATTTTGAGAAAGGCATGAGGGATCTGTTCCCTAGTTGGGGAGGCAGAATCTCCTCAGCTCCCCAGCTTTGTTTAGTTTCTGTATTTTCAAGTTATGTTTTGTCAGTAGGTTTTCTGCTGCTGATCCTTTAGCATGCTTATGATCTGCTCACTGATTGCTTTCAGCAGTGAGGAAGCCAGCTGGAGAAGTGACTGCCCTCAGCTTGCTTCATCTGGTAATTATTAGAGTGGGAGAAGCTGTTGGACAAGGTGTTTAAGTTAACCTAACCCACGCATCCTGGAAGGAAAGCAGAGAGGTGGATAAGTGGGTGAGGTAGGTGGAGGGCTCTGTAACCTTCAGGTGAGGGGTGGTGACAAGCGACTGACAACAGAGGAATCTTGTGTGTGAGTCCTCCCTACTACACCTTTCTTGTGTCTGAGGGCAGGGTCTACTGACTCCTTGTCACTGTGAGACCAAGCTGGCCTCTTTTTGTGTTTGAATCTCTTCTCTTTTTTCAACACCATAATTTATTTTCTTTTTTTTTTATTCCATATAATCACCCACCAGCCTACTTCCTAGGGTTACAGACAGTTGTTATTTTCACTCATTTTCAACCTACTTTTTTTTTCCCTACAAATGGGCTATTTTCATGCTTTGTTTCTCCATCACTCTGCCTTTTCATCTGCTTTCATGCTGTAGGGTCAGTTGTGCCAGCCCTCAGTACTGGGCCACCACTTGCTTTCCATTAATTGGCCACTACAGGAACCTCTTGAAGCATCTGCCAGTCATGGTGACTGCTCTCTAGTACAGGTGAATGCCTTTTAAATGACTGGTAAGCCACCCACAGGGTTGAATTGTGAGTCATCTCGTCATTATCCTCAATTCACATCTTCTAACCTTTCTTCCCTTCTTTGCATTTCTGCGCTTGTTGCCGAAATTGCAGCTGCCAAAGGTCTTCATCAAGTCAGGTTTTCTTCTTGACCAAGTGCCCTTGATGCCTTTGGTAGTCTCACAAAAGTCCCTAATTGTTTTTGTAATGCCATTTGAATATTTTCTCCTCCCTGAGATTTATTTTGTGGATTTTGTCTGTTGAATCCCTTTATTTCTGTTATGCTTAATCTCAGTTTACCTTCATCCAAACCCAGAAATTCAGTTGATGGGGTTCTTTTTCCAGAGTCTATATCTGCTCATCACACCTGTCACATCCTGCCCTAGATGAAAGGGCATGCTTGTTTCTCTGATGTATTGAAAACACATCCCTGCATCTTTTTTTCCCCATTTTCTTTTTCCCTGACTTGTGTCAATAATTCAGGCACCATTTTTGAACTGGAATTTTCCTTGCTCAAATATTTTAATTTGCTGATTTAGCTTGCTGTGTAGTGCAGTGTTTCTTGTTTGAGCATACAGCTCCTAAGATTCAGTTCTCTGGTTTGTATTAGCTCTTCTGCCCTTTCTTCTAGAAACTTGCTACATACAGCCTTTACCTCTTACTTTGGCCAGGTGTCTTAATGTTCAGTGATAATTGCAACTGGCAGCATTGCTGGAGGTTGCTGTTTGGTACATCGTGTGTTAGGAGACATTTGGGTTGCAGCAGAGTAGTTGTAATGACTGGGCAAATACCCTTGCTCAAGACTTACAAATATCCCAAAGAATCTACTCAGAGAGTATTGATGTGGGTGTTATCCCCAGTATTACTATGTTTTATTAACATTGTAAGGTCTGAATTTTACCCAGACAGTTGCCAGAGGCTGTCAGAAGGCCTCTGATAATCTGCATGCACAAAAATACATAGATCGTGAGTGCCTGCATGTAGATACATTTACTGCTCTTGTAGATACATGTGCTGCTCTTGCATAATGCGTGTTGGTCCTTTGTACTGAAGTGCTGCCACTGGATGTGTTTATATTAACCCACAGTCTGCTGCCCCACAGGCAAGGGTGTTGCAAAATCACTTGAGTGTCAAATGGGATTTAAACTGTTGGTTTGTGTAAGAGGTACAATAGCTATGGAATGAACAACTATTGATGGCCATACTGTTGGCTTCTCTCTTGGTTGTCACCAGTGATATATAAAGCTGTAGCACTTAAAACATATGAAAGATGTTAATTGACCACTGTTATTCCTATACTGTCAGGTTGGGCTGTTTTTCATTGTAGGAACTGTGAATAAATTACCTTTGCTACAGAGGCTAATGGGCATAGTGTGTTGCCTTTTTAAAATTAGACTAAGATTCCATTTCTGTAAGTATGTATAAATAGATGTGATTATGCTAAACTGAAAATCTGAAAATTTTAGTGTTAATAATATCTCCTGGCTGGTCCTACAACATTGTAAGTGTTACTGCAACATCTTTCTTTCACTGATTTCATGCAAAATACAGAAATAATCAATCTCAGTCATGCAATGGATTGTGAGCGCTCTGTACTGATTGAAATTCTGGGTGTTGTTTGTCAGATATCAGCAGAAATCCCTTTAGACTGAGAGAGCTCTAGCTCTTCCTATCATACTTTTCTTGAGTGGCTAGCTCAGTCAGACTGAACTATTGAAATAATCTCATTTTTATTAAAAAATTGCATTGGTCACTGACCGGTACTGTAGGAGATGGTTGTAAAGAAAATAATTCAAAGATTAAACCTTGCATGAGTCATTAATCATGAGTCATGATCAGCAGGCAGTGGTATCCAATTTGTTTTCTAATCCTGCACTTGCTGCTGTTCTTTATTACCATAGTGATAATATTAAAGAGCTGTTAATGCATATAACCACGCAGTTGAAAATGACAGACTCTTTTTTCATTGGAATAAAATTTCCATATCTTAAGTTTGTTTTGCTCACTATATTTCTTGTCATGAGAAATTCAGTAGTGTATAAAAGCCATAAAATAGTTCATGTCAGTAAGTGGTTAAGTTAGCGGAACAGCCTTTTCCCCCCCACCTTTTTGCTTTCAAGCCAGTCATTGGGGCTTCCTAGAGAATTTGATCTAGTCTGTTTCAGTATGAGAGCTGGGGACACCTTGTATTCATTAAAAATTGGGAGTTGGTTGTTCAAGGTACACTTTACAAGGAAAGGCTGCACTGTCCATGTATTTCATGTTTGTTCTCTCCTGAGCAAAAGCTAGCGGCTGGATGGAAAGTTTTATTGCTTTAATATGCGGAGGAATGACTGCTGAGGTTTTAGAGAAAAGGGGAAGGCTGTCTCTCTCTTGAGAGACTGAATATGAAAAGAACCAATTAGGAGAAATGAGCTTTAGAAACCCATTTTCACTCTTTAAATAAAATTCTAAAAGCTCTGAAAGGTGGTAGCAGAAGTGTTGCTGACTATTAGAATGTGCATAGATGGAGAGTGTTTGGGTGCAGCAGCAGTCAGGGCATCTTTTTTTATGAAGTAATGAATCTTGTATTCAATTTGATTTTAAACTTGATTAAATTTTGTAATTAGTTTTATTAGTTTACATTTTGGAAAAGTTCATTGTGACAGATTAAAGCCTTGTTTGCCAACAGATATTAAAAAATCATCCCTTAAAGTTTTCTTGTGCAGATGATTTTATAATGCATAGATTTGTGTAGGCCTTACTAGTTTCTTTGTGTTGAGTTTGTGAGATCCTGTGATATTGCTGGCTGCAGTTTGGCAGGACAGGTATGAATCTACTGGCATAGATGGCTCTTCACAGTTGCCTGGTATTGCTGCATGTACCTTCACATCCCATAGTGTGATTGCTCTGCAAACTCCTCCTCCCTTTGAATGGGGACTATACCTGCACCAACAGAAGCATTTTCAAGTTTAGCGTAGAATGCTACAGCCAGTGACAAGATAAGTGTTCACCTGACAGGACTGTTCACTTGTTTCATTAGGAGCTAATTGTCTGTGGTTTTTAATGTGCATTTCCTTGATCATGTGTAAATAATAAAGGTTTTTAAAAATGTTGAGTCTGTAAGATACCCTGAACAGAGCATACAATATAGCTGGCACCAAATTCTGTCTCAGTGAATGTGTTTGTGTTCTGAGTTCACCTGAGAAAAACTTACCAACAGCTGCTTGCCAGTTTTGAAAGTATCTTGTTTCTGCCAAATATGATTCTGAAACAAAGAAGGTCTTTTCCCAGTTATCAAAAAAATGAGCATCTACCATGTCTTCTGAGTGGCCAAGCCCATTAAAAAGTAGGTTGGGGCAAAGGTAGGACTACTCTATCAAATTGCAAAATAAGCATTTCTTTTCCCATGTCCTGTGGGGATTCTTTTGATTCCCATTCTGATTGGGGTCTAAGATGACTTTATTTCCAGATCAGCTGTTTTCAGTTCAGGCTTTATCCAGTTTCTTTCAAGTCACTTGTAAACTGCTTTCTCTAGTACACCCATTTCCAGAGTAAATAAATTAAGGCAGAGATGCAGATCAAGTGATAATTACTTTCTTGTTATTTCCTGATCTACAGTTGTACACTGTAGAGTGGAAATAGCAGAGGAATAGGCCATGGGTACACTGGTACACAGAGATACTTTACAAGTATTATTACCTGTATAAAAGGCAAGTATGGCACTCAGTGCATAATACTGCTGCACACTTCTCATCCTTGGGAGCACTGCACAGACTCTGTGCCCCAATGAGATTAACTCAAAGTGCTACTGGGATGATTGGGAAAAGCACATAGCAATCAAGGGCTAGGCAGACTAATTAGTTTTAAGATAAGGTGTGACAATTGTGTTAATGGAATTAGGTGACAGGGAGCAGACTTCGATATAAGAATGATCTTCAATTCTTAATTTTTAAGTTCCTCAGGTATTTCTCTGGGGAAGGTCTTGCTCTAATAGTTGCTTACAGAAAAGCAGGACATCCAGATCTTGAAAGTTGTGGGATTTGATAGGATTTTTCCTCCATTATAGGTGTGTTCGAAAGTCCTGGTATTTTCTTTGAGGGAAGGGTGAGAGAGGGTTTGGAAGAGTAATACAGAGTAAATTGATCTAGTGGAATATGTAGATTTTTCTGTAGTTTTTGAGCCTCTTTTGCTTTCTGCACACAATAACTTTTTTGGTAAATTTTAAAAAGAAATATTTTAAAAGGTGCTAATACCTGGTTTAACTACTAAAATCACTCCATAAAACAACTTCTGTTTACTTGTGACGGTAGATTCAAATGAAGAATTTTGCTAATATAGTTTGCAGTCATTTCTGCCAACTGTTATGATTGTATTACCTGTATATTAGTTGCTGCTGTCATACTTCCCTCTTTCTCAGAGGACTGAAGTGGATTTCAAAAGAAGTTTCCTAATTTTTTTTTTCCCCTCACTCCCTGTATTTCCAGAAATGGCCCTTGCTCTGTGGAAGAACTTTCTTCAGATTACAATGAAAAGGATACTACAGCAAAGAAGGTTGTCACTGTATAATGGTGCTCATGGCTATGAGGAAGAATTGATAAAGAAGAAACTTCAGCAGTTTTCTGGTGGATCTGTCAACCTTGTGAAAGAAGACAATGGCATTGCAATACTTACTTTGAATAACCCCAAGTTAATGAATGCCTTCACAGGTATTAATTAGTTGAGGGGATTGCTGGTTGGTTTTGGTCTTTCTCTTGTTCAGTTACCTATTTTGACATTTTGCCTAAAGAAAGACAAACACTCTGCTTTACCACGTCTTAGTTAGAAGAGTAAATGTGTTTATTCTGATGTGCAGCAAATGTGTCCAGTGTTTTGTAGTAACTTTGCTATACATGTCATAAGAATCTAAGAAATTCTCAATGACACAAGGACTGTCTTGCAGAAGGTGCTTCTCCCCATGTTGTTTAAGTGTTAGCACAATTCTGCCCCTGAGCTCTTTCTTGCATCTCCTCTCATTTTGTCATCACTGCTCTGGAAATATGGAAGGCATTTCTGTGGGCATGAGACAATGCCACCTCCCTTCTGTAGGTGATAGAGAAAGAAAGATTGAGTTTATTGCTTGGTTCTTTAGCTAAAGCCTTCCCTGTACATTAAACTTCTGTAGTTTGGTCTTTTCCACTTACCCAAACTGGCTTCCATTTGTTCTTCATTTGCCTTATGTCTTAAATATCAGTGACTGGTTAATTAAAGATCAGATGAGCTGGGTATTCTCAACTGTTGCAGGTCAGTGATCTATTTAATATGCTTTTACACTGGGGCATGCTTAGCTATCAAAACCAAGTGCCCTATTTTATTAATCTTGTATTATGAGAGGGCTTTGTTCTCCAAGTTGAGTATATTTGCTGTCTCTTCTTAATTATCTCGATTATTCCAATTTATGTCACTCTCTTCAGATATGAGTGGCACAGGTCCAGGGTGTGAACCTGCTTGAGCTGGAGCTGTGCATAAGCCTTCACTGTAAGAATTATTTTATCTGTTAATATTTTGATGTGGATGCATTTGTGTCATCTTGCTAATTTCTTTGTTGCTGTTCTGTCTTCCTGCCCAGTTCTCACTGTTCCTTTGCTGTGAGCAAACATTTTGCAACATACTAGCAAAGTATGCACTTTAGATGCAGAATGACAGTCTGTTCTTTCCACTAATGATTGTTAGCTGTAAGGAACCTAGGAGAGCAGCAGAATTGGTGGTAATGCACCCAGATGTTTCTGCATTCTCTTTTGTTTTGCTTAAAAAACTCATGTATAAAATCATTACCTAACTTAAGAAATTGTAGCTAAAAGATGTTAGCGTAGGGATTGTCCTTCTGCATGCCTCCCTGTCAGCATACATGCTGTTATACAAATCATAATTACATGGTTGTTTCTCCTTTTTCTACAGATTGGTTTCTATTTTTGACTCAAAACAAAACTGTGCAAAGTACACCCTGTAGACTGAGTGCTTTTAGCTTGTTTGTTGGGGAAGTTGAAAGGGGCATGCAAAGTGAGCTGTAACAGCAAAAGGAGAGAGCAGACTGGGTTTTTCTGCTCTTTGAAGATCAGGAGCAATAAAAGTAAAATTGCTTAACCCAAACTTTCATAGAAACTGGCAAATAGGCTCTCTGTTTTCTGTGTGCTTGCCAGGAGGGGCTCAGAAGTGATTGGTGGCCGTGCTGAGCAGATGCAGCTGCCATTTAGGCAACTGATAGCTGTTCTTTGCCTATACAATGTTCTATGTAATGTTAATGTGCTGAAATCATATCACACATCTGGAGATGAGCACCCAAAATTAGCAGACATTTTCTCTCTGGCTCAGTTAGTTGTCTGTAAAATAATCTCTCCTCTGCTTACAGGACTGCTGTGAAAATAACTTATTAGTGTATGTCAATTAGATGTTCTAGTAGCAAAGAGCTACAAAAACCACTGAGGAAATTAATAGCTCTGTCTTTGTTACAGATCCTCATTAGCATATAACAAATGAGCCATGGGATCAGGCAGTTCTGTTTTAAAGCAGTGTGTAGAGAGCTGTACTCCATTTTGCTAGGCAATAGCCTCAAAAAATTGCTCAGGCAGATCTTACTGTCAGTTCAAGAGATGCTGCTTCTTTCTGCTGTACACCTCTGCTAGAGACCTTTGTTTTCAAGGGAGGGATAGTAGAAGCAAAATCAGGCTGATCCCTTTGCTGCTGCAGTGAATGGTATGGCATCTTAATTTATACCGATCTTAGTTTCATTTTTAACATTATTATTTGTAAAATGCATTTGCTGAGAAACTACTAGGAACTTAATCCTTTGCCTTCAGTTGTGTATCAAATAATGCTCTTCAAGGGGCAGGATGGGGTGTGCTACCCCTGAATTGCCTCAGCAGAAACTGGTTCACTTCATCAGCCAGAGCCTGCAGGTACAGCTACCTCCCTGTCAAATTCTGTTGATTCTGTGTCTCAGAGCTTCTGAATAGTGGCAGATGTGAATTCATATCTCCATGCACGCTCCCTCTGGAAAGCTGCAAAACATTATTAAACTGTTGAGGGAAATTCTATTTTCCAGGCATTTACTTTACACAGCAGTTTTTTATCTCAAAGGAATTATGTTTATTCTAAGCTTGAGCAACTCCTGAAATCAAAAACAGAACAAAATTGTTGGCAAATGGCTAATGGGCGATACGGAGATTGTTATGCCTTTTTTCTCTTCTTAATTGGAATCTAATAGCCACCTGTTTGAAATGGTCTCTCTGGAAACAAATGCTAATAATGTCAGTTTAAGCCTGGTAGAGCCAATTTCAGCAACCCAGCCTCTCACTGAACTAAACTTGAATGTAGTTTAAAAGAGAAGAAAGCTGGCCTGTAGGAACTAGAAAATAATGATGATAGTTTTTATTTTCTAGAATTTACTTGAAAATATTTATGCTCAGATTACAGTTAAAATGCGAGCAAACTATTTATTATTAATTCTGTAAAAAGCATGAACTTAGTGGTATCACCTACTGAAAGACTAAGATTGGCAGAATGAGGATTTGCTTTAGTGTTGTGCCTTCTTCATTATGTCAAACATCAGGAAATATACCTGTTAGTAAAATAATAGTTCAGTGTTGTCAGGAATGGAAAAGAGCCTCTCACAGGAGGGTAGGACAGGCCCTGGCCAGTGTCTTTTATCCCCTGCTATTGCATGTAACAAGCTCATATGGATCCTGCATTTTTTCAGTTAACTTGATTTTTTTCTTGGAATACTCTGTGGAAAGACTCTTCAATACCTCACTGCTTTGCCCATTAAAAGAACCACAAACAGTGGTTCTGCTGTATTTGATTCTAGCAATGCTTGAATGTCATCCCAAATACCCCTCTGTTAAGAAGATTTAAGAAGGAAAATATGCAAGAAGTGAAATCCACAGGGTTAATGCACACCTGTTTGAATGGCAGCATTTGCAGAAAAGTTGAGTGTGCCATCAGGCTGGAAAAGCACTTCAAGTGAAGACCCACAAAAATCTCATCTAGGCCCAGTTCTGCTCAGTATTTTCATTCTTGGCTTGGATTATGAAGCAGAAGGTGAACTGCTGAAATGGTCACATGACCCCATATTAGGAGAGCTCGCAAGGTTATTTTTTGGAGTAGAGGAGAGGCATTCAGTGATCTTGATTAGCTGCTGCTAAGAGCTCAAGATCAACAGGGTGAAATTCAGTGAAAACAAATGTAATGTGCAACATACAAAAAGCATGACTAAATTATAAATACAGAAGGGAAAGCAACTGGCAAAACTGCTGGGATTTTTTAGAGGATCATAGTAGGGACTTGAAAGTGGCTACAGAAAAACCCAACTCTATGCTATTCTGGTATATAATATGTAATATATATAATATGTAATGTCCACTTGATTATTGGCTACCTCAGAAACATTGTCAAGCTGTATTATTGCAGTGTCTGACACCAAGCCTAAGGGATAAATACTTGACTGAGTGCTCACCCTTACTTCATAATGTACTGTAAGGAAAAAAACCATTAGAAAGAAAACATAAATGTCCCCTGGACTAGCTGCTAATGGGATATTTCAGAAGAGGATGAGTCGTGTACATGCATGCATAGGGTTAAAAAAGCAGCACTGTTGGCAGAGGAGAGAGTCCTTGAAAGTATTAATCAAAAGCACATGTCTGTCTGAAGAATGTAGCCATGTCCATCTAAATTCTTGTCAAAGAAGGGTAAAGCTGAGAGTGTCATCAGCCTGTATGTACTCTGCTTTCTGAAATTAGTTTCTGTACATGTTTTCTCTTAAGTATATAACTGGACTGAGTCATAGGCATTCAGAGAGGAAGAGCTTTGAATTAATGCAGGTACATTCCATTGCTGTGGAAGACACTGCTGTCTAGCATGAGCTCTAGAAACAGGAGTTTGTAGAGTTCCATATCAGGAGGAGTACTTAAGCAAATATGATGTTTATGACATTTTATGATGAATTGGATGTTTAAACAAGAAATAAAAAGATATTACTGTATGACAATATACTTTATAAAGGGAGTCTTTTTAGAAGGGAACCTTTGTTAACATTGACTGGTTGTGCCTCGAATTGACTGGTTGTCCCACCCTGGACATGATTCTTTTCTATTCTCTGTCAATTGTTTGGACAGAGAAGAATGTCAGTAACTTCAATATGACTAGTTGGACAGATCTGGATGCATATATATAAATTCATCTGTCCTGAATGTATGCAATTGTAAGCAGAATGAAATCAGGCACAGGATTTTGTTTGTTGCTTTTGTTTTGGAGCTTTCTTGAGTATAACACAAATATCCTTCATACGGAATATCCTTTGGAATTTTGGGAAGTGCATCCTTGGAGAACAAATGTATGCCAAGGATTGTGTGCAGGATTTGAGATTATACTTTCTATTGTGATTTTAAGCCCATCACTTATTAACTGTAACTTGGTTTTGCTGGTGGAAAATATAACAAAAAACATGATGGTGATGATAATTTCCTGTTAAAAATTTTGGTTTTCCCCTCTTGTGGCAGGCACTATGATGGTAGAACTCCAGGAGAGGGTAACTGAGCTGGAAAACTGGAAGGATGGCAAAGGTCTTATAATCCATGGTGCAGGAAATACTTTTTGCTCAGGATCTGATTTGAATGTTGTCAAAGAAATATCCAATTCCCAGGCAAGTATTAATACACATTAAGGTTTTGGAGAAAATTAATTTTTTGAGATACTTTTTAGACAGAAGTGTTGCACTACACTTCTGCAATTTTACATACAGGTCACAGAATGGAGTTTTAATGGTCAAAAACATGCTGTCAGCTCCTTCAAGCTGTGATTTAAATGTTATTGTAAATGATTCATGACTCTAAATTCCTACACTAGATATTCATTTTAGCCTTTTCTTTTAAAAGTGTCATTTCAGTTTCTCACAGCGGTATATGGTGAATTTTCCTGTCAGATAAAATGTGCTTCTGTAGTTTGACCTTTAGAAACAGATAAAAGTAATAATTTCTCATATTCTAAAGTTAAAAAAAGAAATTTAAGTAGAATGGCTGCTATTACAGAAAGGTTTCTATTTTATCAAAACTGTGCTTGGACCTGCATGAAATGGAAGAACAGATGCAATTCTTGCGCTGGACTTGAATCATGCGAGTCTTGTGTGTGTCTGTGAAGTTGCAGAGCTTGGGGTTTGATGGCAATTTTTTGCTCATGCCACCCATTGGACAACTTTCATGTGTGCTACAGTTCTTTCTGTGGGTTACTATGTGGATTTGGCAATGTGTGTAATAGGACTTTGCCAACTGCCAGGGAAGAGGGTCTTCCTGTGCTGCTCTTAGACCTGGTTTGCAGTTGTGGTAAGTGCCAATCCTGCTGCTTTTTTGTGGCCCCTGCAAGCTTCAGGATTTAACCATGTAAATGAAACATAATTGTCCCTTCCAGTATGACTAACAACACAAAAACTGGTTAATCTGATATTTGTCTTTAGTGATGATTTTTTTTTTTTTCTGTTGATAAAACTAAATATCATAAACCCCACAATTTTTATTTTTGGCCTTGTAAAATAAAAAGGACAGTCCAGTTTTCAAAGGGTATAGGACACTTTGTTTCCTTTTGGGAAAACCCTAAGAGAGATGCTTTTCTTAATACAGAAATGTCATGCATTATAGTATAAATGGATTTGGGGGACGTTTTCATCTGGATATTTTATAAAAACTGGCAATTTAAAAAATATAGATGTAGATGTGATTTTTTTCTAAATTGATTTTTTTTTTTGATCTGCAATTTTTAACTTCTTTGAGCATTATACCAACAGAAAAGGAGGTGAAGCCAAGCAAGGTCAGTTCTTTCCTTATTTGCAGTCTAGGCTTTCCTTTAGAAATCTGCATTCAGTAAATCTCAGTGATTCTGCTTCCATACATTTCGTATTCTCTCTGTATGCTTATACAAATTACTTGGAGCCACTGCAGTGGCAGAGAAGGCTCTTGCAAGGACTGGGTTCGATAATAGATATACTGGACAGAATTAAATGTATATGTGTTATAACTTTGTTGAGAATTCTCTACACATAATCTAGATCTCATTCTAGTATGGAAATTAAACCCTGAGTCACCAGAAATGCTCCAAGAATAGTTAAACATAGTTGCTTTTCTATTTCCATTGGAGAGTTCAAGCTATTTATTTTTTACTGAGAGTTTCTTTATAGTAGCTCCTAAAGCATCTATTTGGTGGGATTAATAGTCTTTATTAAATAAAGCTTTACTAGAATATGGAATAGCGTTTGCTGTTCTTCAATCTTACAGAACTCTTCTCTCTAACTTCATGCAGATGAGAGTGTTTGTCTGGTTTCAGATTAAGTTTTCTGTCCGTAGACATCTTCAAGGCAAAATCGAAAAAAAAAGGTCAATAGCTTCATGCCTGAACTGGTATGTCTTTCACAGTATCACAGAATATTCTGAGTTGGAAGGGACCCACAGGGATGATCGAGTCCAATTTTTAAGTGAAAGGATTGAACCCACAACCTTTTATTATTAGCACCATGCTCAAACAACTGAGCTGTCCTTTACAATTTTTTCCAAGGCTGCTTTAGCCCATATCTTTTAGTAATTGCAGAAAACACTTTAATTTTATCCAACCGGTTGCTTGAGGGAGGACTGTATTTTTCATAATTTTCGGTACAGTTTGCTTTTCCCTGTGGTGCAGAATCGGCAGAATAATGGCCAAGAATGCGGAAGGATTTTCGTGCCCCCTAGTGGCTCTTTGTCCTCCTCTCCCACTTCATTCCTTTCCTCTTTCTTTGTCCACCTTCTCCCATGTTCAATTGTTCCTAACTCTGAAGCAAACCTAGGTCCCCTGCCTGTTTTCTTTTCTGAGTGCTAACATTACATCACCAAATCACAAAAGGTAAATGAATAGTGCAATTTAAATAATTTTTTTTTCCTTCTGCCTTTATAAGGCTTTGTAAGCTGTTCCCAGTGCAAGAACCTCATTCTGGAGTGAGACTTGAAAAGTTGCCTAGCTGAAAAGCAAGAATAGCTCTTAAAGCAACAGCTCAGAAGGAGAAGCACAAAGGATAACTTTGCTTTCCTTGTCCCTGTCTAGAAGCCCTAGGACAGAGGTTCCCAAACATAAGCTGTGGAGGAAGGACTTTGGAGCACTTGGAGATAATATGTAAATTATGTTCTGTCTGTAGTGCAAATGGATTCAAAGCTCTTGCAGCAATAAGAGTCAGCATTACAGTTTTCTACTTTATGAAGGTGACTTTCTTCTTCCCTGCCTCTCCTAGGCCCACACCAAGCTATTAATCCTTTTCTTCCATATGTAGTGCATTTTACTGCATTTTACCTCCATTTCTGCTAGTTAGATATCTTCTTATTTCAAGGACAACATTAGAGCTGCAAATATAATTATTCTACTAGACTGCAGTGGGCACCTCTTAGAGAATTTTATCTGAATAGTAGCCTTTTTTTTCTTGTCAGGAAGGTTTGAAGGGTTTATTTGCTGAGACTCAAGCAATTTTTTTTTTTTTCTTGGTTTGGTGTTTTTTTTTTTTTTCCTAAGGGATGTTTTCTCTGTGGGCATTTTTTCCATGGGATACACAGTAATCTCTCTACTACCTGAGAGAATGAAGACTTTATTTTTGTCTGCTCAGACATAAATGCATTTTTCAAGTTTGTCTGTTCTGGAATTAATCTTTAATTACCATTTTGGATTTTGTCATGAGTTGAGAAGGCCAGTTTGAATGCAAGGATTCTGCTGTGATGAAGTGAAAAATTGTGTTCTCTAAAGAGCTTTTGTGCAACTTCATCCTGACAGTTGTAATATGGGAATTGTGCAAGTCTTTATCTGAGAACTGGTACCTTGGATGTTTGTGTGGGATTTGAACTTAGCTACTAAGGCAGCTATCACAAAGGGTTTGAGTGTTCTTTATTTTGGAATGGAAATATTGCGATTGTTCTTAGGGGGTGTAGGAGATGGCTACAGTGGTAAGTAAAAGCCTTTTTGTAAAACAACAGCTGCTAAAATTTTCAAGCAGCCCTCTAGTGCAGTAAAACTAAATACACTGGTTCTTGTGTAACAATTGTCATGGCACTCACATCTGCCAGAGATGTGCACTTGAACATCATAATGCTGGTTGGCTTTGGGCAGAGTAGCTCTTGGGAATACACGACTAAATGGACAGTAAATCACCTGCAATTGGCCTACTGTTATTTAAAGGTTCTATTCCAAAGATGTACTGAAGACTTACCACATATATTTTCTTTCCCTGAGTCAGAGGCTTTTAATTCAGGCAGGTTCTCTAAATTGCCAGCTTTTGTAAAACTGTGTTTTAGAAATTATTAAATTCTGATAAAGAGATGTTTGGTTTGGTTTGTTTGGATTTTTTTTCTTTATTATCTGAAAGTTGTGCTGAAATTTTTACCTACTGGTTTTTTATTTCTGCGGTGTCCAAGCATAATGTTTTCCTCTTATCTGGGATAAATAATATGTGTTGTTCAGTTCAGTATGTATATGAACATGGTGGTTCTAGATTATTTATCTCAGTTAGGTGTCAAGTTCCTGATTAATTCGAGATGTCTGAGAAGGAGGATAACAACAGGGAGGGCAGATAGATAATGATTTTGTCTCAAAATATTTTCTTAGCTCTCAGCAACTTGTGACTAAGACTTCTAGAGCTAGAGGTGTTGCCTTCTATGTAATAACCTTTTGTTGGTGTTCCTGTTGTGAGTTTATGTAGTTGCTCTTGAAATCATGTCGAGGGTGCTGTCAAGTGTTCCACATTTTAACTACGCATTGTAGGAATAAATATTTGTTTTGAACATATTTTATTTGGAGCCCTTTAGTTCTTGTGCTAGATGAGAAGTAAATGATTGTATTTTTTTCACTGTTGATTACAAGGAAGTGTAAAACACAAAGGATGTGAGACATAAGAAGTATCTTCTTTCTGGTTTGGTTTTTAATTTGTTTTGGTGTTTTGTGGTTTGGTGGTTTTAGTTTCCTTTTTTTAGCTGAAATGCTTATGGCCCAAACAATAGAAGATTAAATTGGTAAATTGTATCTTGTCTAAAACTTTCTGGATTTGGGACAGTAAAAAGTATGTAGCACACTGTGGCTTTGTACAGAATTTAAAAACTCAGATTTATGTATGTTCAACTTGAAGTGAGAAGAGGAAATTAAGAGGAAACACAAAAGTTTCACAACATAGAAATTCAGTATTGCAATTACTTTAACAGTTGCTTAATTTTAACTGACATTTATATAAGTCAATTGAGTTCTGATTTGTTTTTTAACCTGATTTATACTAGGTTTTCTATTTGTGCATAGCAGGGTTGGGCTAGAATTTGGGCAACATGAACCAGAGACAAAACCCAGCTGAAGTAAATATAAAGAATGCTTACTCCTCTTTACTTTGTCTGTGTGTTTAATTGCTGCACATTAAGATCACGTAACATTTTTTAATTTCCTATTCATTGTAGGATGGGATGAATATGTGCATGTTTATGCAAAACACCTTAACCAGACTTATGAGGTAATATATTTTATTTACTCATCTATGAAGTAATTATAAGTATCAGAATGTATTTTGGCTAATTCTTTAACGAGATGTTTAAAGATAACTATGTATGTATGTATGTATGTAAATATGTATGTTATATATGTAATTTTGAATCCCAGACCTTGTATTCCCACATGTTAATCAGGTAGGTATTTATGGATTTAAATTAGACCTTAACATTTTGCAACTATTACACTTTCCAGAGATTGGAACAGGAAAAAAAAATCCCAGGCTTATATGTGTAGAGCTAGGAGATATGAAGAATTAAGGAAATCTAAGACTTCAGATTTTCTGAAACTCAGCCTCTTTAACTCATTGGAAATTGGTAGCTCTTAAATAAGAAGCAGTAACAGGTTATGCAGCCTACATAGGTAACATTTATTTGATATATTTAATCTTCCCACTTCACAAGAGGAGTGTGTCAGTTCTACCATCTGGTAATTCTGAAAGCAACACCCTTTCCTTTAGACTTAGCTTCCCTTTAGAAGTCACATTTCTATTAAATCCATTTGTGGTAGAGTCTATGTTTTTCTGCTTAGAGCTCTTTGAAGATGAATATTCTTTGTTTTCAAATATTCATTGTTTTCAAATAATCTATATGAGAAAATGTTATGAATTAACATTTTTTCTGTAAAATTACCCAGGAGATTGGAAACTTACATTAGTAGTACTGTAAGGAATCCTCAGGATTGGAAGCCATTTGCATAAGCTTGTCTCCATATAATTGAAATTGATGGGGCAAAGCTAAGAGGAGGAAGATGTGTGAAGATTAAGTCCCCACCTCAGGTGTGTAGACTTAGTGTGTCTTTAAGCCATGGTTCAGGGGGAGCACTGAGCTGCTGTCTGGGGACATCTGTTGTAGATAGGATTAGTCTCCCTCAGAGCTGAGGCTGACTGATCCCGAGAGAGGTGCCTTGAATGGATTAGAGTGCGGATGTAGCCATCTTGGACCCACATCTTCTGCTTTCTTGTCAAGCACAGGAAAAATGACATTGCCCTCTTCCAGTGGGTTCTCTTGTGCCATGTATTGTATGAACTGTGCTGCAGCTTGTAAGGGAACTTGGGCTGTCAGAAAGTGTTGGTGCTTCTGTTGAAGGAGAACTAAAACCAAACGTGGTTATGATTAGGATGCTGACTTCTGAATGTGGTTTGTAAACTGCTCAAAAAGCTAAATGTCTCTTCACAGTAAAAGATGAAACAGCTGTATTAATGTGCAAATTCTGTGACTAACCAGCTGCCTTCATTTCTTAAGGAACTTGCCTTATCCTAAGTCACTGTTCATTAGTATTCATTTCACATCAGCAGTGGGGAAACTTTTCCTTCCCTCTGTCCTTTGAATTACCTTGAACATGATTAAATACCTTGAACATGATTAAATACAACACCAACAAAGGTAACAGATTGCTGCTTTCCTCAAAAGGTTTTGTCTGCAAAAAAAGTTTTGTTGATGACTGAGATAGTAGCAGTGTTTGAAGAAGCTGCTGAAGCTGTCATGGTAAATCTCATTAGTTTTAGATAACTCAGCCCTTCAGTTCTTTGTGTCTCTTTCTGCAGCTTTCTGTGGTGCAGTGGCTTAGAGTAGAATCTTGTGTTGCTATCCTGTCACTCCTCACAGGTAGTCTTTTTTAGATATATTCTATAGCAGGTATTTTTCATAACATGTGTTTTTCAGTACGTGATCTTTATTTTGATTCCATTTAAAATATCTGTGTTGGTGTTTCATTCTGGGATTCTGTATCAATCATGCAATTGTAATTTTGACATAAGTGGAAATGGTGTTGTGCCAATTGCCCACAAAGATGCAGTTATTTGATTAAATTGGAACAGTATATTTTTCTCAACTTTCACTGTATAAATGGTTTGGTTGAATTGTTTTTTTAATTTCTGAAAGGCTAAAAGCATGAATTTTGCTTACTGAAGTCTCTTGTGCAGGTTGCCTTTGATCAGTGTTGCACTAGTTCAAGGAAAAGCTTTTGGAGGAGGAGCAGAACTTACCACAGCATGTGATTTCAGGTAAGGCTGACAAGTGTTATGTTGGGTCAGTGATTTAATGACTGTACCATGAGGTAGTACTTCTACCAGGAGTAACCTTCCTGGGTTCCAAGGCATTTGCAACAAGATTTTGTCATCAGACTTCACAGGAAAAGTTGTGGATTCTGCCAGGCTATGTGGCTTGAATCACCGCGCAAAACAAGAGCAGTAAGGTTCTTTAGCAACTGACTGTTTTACACACCAAGTGGATCCAACTCACCCCTGAATGAGAGGTAGGAGGCTTGCAAAATTGTCTGTTTCCCTGTGTTGCTTTTTGTGAATGTCATAAAAAAAAAAAATAAATATCTTCATTACTCTTGTATTTCTTGTTCTGTGTTTATTATTTGTAATGTAATTTTGTGCTGCACAGCTGTTTAAACAAGAATTTGAGGTGCAGAGTAAAACAAATGAGGTTTCATCCCTGTTTTTTTTTACATGCAGGTGCAGGGATTTGCTAGCACAAAACAACTGGCAAAAAAAGGAGGGCTTTAATTAAACAGGCAGAACAGGAATGGGAAGACACTAAAGTAATAAAATGTCACTTTATATAAACCATTGCTAATGTGTAAACAGCCTACAGCTGTAGCAGGATAAGCACAGTGGGCAGCATCTCTGAAAATGAGAAGCTTTTAGTGAGGTTTTCATCTAAGAAAAGGAAATGTGCTTTTGAAGAGGGCCTTAGTGGGAAAGGAATTGCCCCAAACAAGCTGAAAGAAGGTACACTCAAAAGTAAAGTAAACTAGAATATTACAGTGCTGTTCCAGGTATCAAGACCAGGCTTTGGATAGAGGAGATGGTATCTGCATTGTCTGAGCCGCTTGGAAGTAATCTTCCTTTGCTTTGAAAGTAGATGTGACTGGATCTTTCTTCATCTCTGCTCAGCACACAGTGAGCTGAAGCCCAGCTGTGATGTGGGTCCAGACTGTGTTACAAATAGCAGAGAGGCTCTGTGTTTGACAGCTGCAGTGCTGGCAGGAGAATGCACCTGGGAGACTCAGCAGACCTTTCTGTATCTGTGAGCCTGTCGACAGAAAGTGTTTCTTGTTATCTCTAAATAGGCGTTTAGGGAATGGGAATATAATGAAATGGAAATCTTTTGGCTTTTTAAAATACGTTCTCTCTACTTACACTCCAGCTATGCTGTTTTGACATGCTGTGTAATTATAGGCATTATCAAGTAGCTCTTATTTGCATGAATTGAGCAGCTGCAATTCCTCTCATGCAGTGCCATAATTTTCATAATAACTACAGCTGTTGATCCATCTTCCATTACTTTCTACACACCCATCCAGTGCAACTAAATAACAGCCATTCAGGAGCAGCAAATGGGACTTAATTAATAACAGCAACAAGACAGAGAAACATACTCTGTGCTGTTATTGCTCTTGAATTTGAGAATTTTTATACTGGTGGACAAAATTCCAGGGTTTTTTGAGGACTGTAAGTAGATATTAGTGGAATAGGTATTGTGACTGTCCACAGTCACCAGATGACAAAAGATGAACGTGAGACAGAAATCAGAGATTTGTTTTCTTCATTGAATAATGTTTGAACGTTTTATTTTTAAAAAACAAAATGAGTTTGTTGTGGTTGCTTTTAATTCTAGATTTTCAAATACAGTTCTGTTTTTCACAGTCTCTGTTTAAACTACCAAACTGCTTGGTTTTGGCCTGAAATATTTTCTTATTTTTATCTCTTTCACTTTGTACTACATTAACTATACTGATATTGTTTGAGCAACTCACTTGAACCAAAATGACCTAGGTACCTCCTCTGAAATGTGGTCTGGCAGCATGATATGTATCTCTACTAAAGTAGAGGTGTGGACAAGTCCAATTTTAAGATAGCTGAGGTGGTTTAAGATATTACTGATACATTCTTCCTGTAGCGGTTCTTGTGGCTAATTGTCCCACTCTGTTTTAAGCTGGCTCTTTTTAAATTGGATTGGGGCTTGTGTGAACTTCAGCACATTTATTGCTGAAATAAGTACAGTGATAAAAAGTGAAAGCATCTGAGGTTAGTCCACCCTTAATCTGGAGGAAGATGTCTTCTCCAAACATCTTCTTCAGTCTTAGCTGTTTTATGTGTTGCTGCAGTATGGCTCTCCAGAAAAGCAGTATCCTTATAAAGATCATAAACATGTTACTGGAGGAAAAAAATCAGACCAGTCCAGACAAGGGCAAGGTAATTAATTTCCTTTCAGACTTTTTCTGATATGAAAATTGGAAAGATAAAGCTTCTGACACTAGAATTATTCATCTCAATTATTACTGCAAAACTGGGTAATGTAGAAGGGTGCAAGTATGAAACTTGCTCAGACAGCTAAGCATTTTAGTAATATTTTCAAGAAATACTGACTTTTTTCAGTGTGCCATAGTTGAGCACATGAAGGTGGCTCGTGTTTTCTGCTGCCAGATGTTAATGTATTTTATAGCTCTGCATGACACTGCAGCCATTTCAGTGAGGTGCAGAAGTGAATGTGATGTTGGATTTACTGATGGAATTTCACAAATAATTGAGGTGTCTGCTTTGGATTCCTTTATGCAGAAACTTGAAATGTGTCTTGTGCTTACACAATGTGTGAAGGCAAGGAGAGCAGATTTGGCAGGATTGGCTGAGGACTTCAGACAGGAAAACAGAAATGGTCTTGGATTGTTGGACAATAAGCTGAGAGATACAGGCAACAGACAGTAATGAATCCATTTGTGCAATTAGCAGATCACAATAATCTCTGAGTGCAGTCACTGCAATGCACCACCAGATAATAGCCAGAATAACTAACTTTGAATTCTGAGCTGTCTTGTCTTCTATTGCATGTTGCTGCCTTTGAGAAATCTCACTGGGGCAATGTCTGTGTAGGTCTTCTACACACAAAAATTTGGTCCTACCTCGCCTGGCAAATGGACTTCCATTGTATCTGAGTGCTTCTGAAACACAGAGTCTCTTTCCCCCTACCTCCTTTTTCCTCTCTAATGCTGCTGCAGTCCAAGTAGATGTGTGTCTGTGTCCCTGCCATGTAAATCAAATGTAAAAGTTGGTGTCTTGAGGCAGAGGTTGAGAGTGCAGAGATGGAAAACTGCCCATTTCTCATATCATTGATCTCAGAATGGGCTTGTAGATGGGGACAGCAGTGATTTCCTTTTCTTCTTTAGAAAATAAATTCATGAACTATAGTTTCTTCAGCTGTAGTTGATGTTGCACAGTTAAATTGCAAAGGGCCAGTTTCATTACTGTTATAAGTGCTGAGCTAACTATTAGCTTATGCTAATAATATTGCATTAATCAAATTGGCCTTCTTTCATTTTAGCAGTGTGTTTTCTGTATTTCTGTGAAATATGTAGGCATGCTTAGTATTACATTTTAAGGTGTTAAATAAGTTCCATGAAACACTTAGTAAGAGATGAAATGAAATGTTTTTAAATAGCTTTTGGTGTGTGTGTGTGTTCCTGTGATAATTTATGTTTATTTGATTCTACAAGTTGTATTTAGAGCATTAAATGCAACATAGAGGAAGTGAAAGCAACAGAAAATAATCTAGTCTCTGCATAGATGTAGCTACACTATGACCAACTTTTCAGTTGTTTCACCTTTCAAAAAGGAGAAGTGGAGGAAGGTGTAAAGACTTTAGTTTTCTGCAGTAAACTTCTTCAAAAATAGGTTTCAGAACATCAGAGCACAGCACATGAGCTTCTTTGGAAATCTTTTACTCTGTACAAGGATTTGGGCTTTTAATTTATCAGGAGGAACATTTAGGTGCACAAGATGCCTCTGTTTGAAATAAGGGTGCTTCAGGACATAGTAGCATTTTTTATTGTGTAGAGCCAGATAGGATGTAGCAACATGGGGTTCACATATTCATGAATCATTGCAGAGTCCAGGCTCACAAAGCCCTTTTCATTCATATGACTGTAACATTGCTACACATCATCAGAGAAGAGTCAGTAGCCAGATCTGAGTGGGTTCTCTGTAGAAGCCTAAAAGATAAGGGACTAAAATGTTTGTGGTTCAAAAACTGATAGCTGGATATCCATGGAACCAACCAAGAATTGATGGTAATAACACACTGTGAGAAAGAACAGGATGTGGGTGGAGTAGGGGCCCATATGGAGGTAGAGCAGCACTTTTCTGGGACAGATGTCCTTGTTCTGGTGCAACAGAAAAAGCACAACACAGTACAGGGCAAGTGCAGCAATGAGATTGAGAAATGGACAGGCACTATAGATTATGACCATCAAAGACCCTTCAAGCCTCCACCTATTTCCAGAAAGATGGAGAAGAAAGAACTGTGCATGATAACTAATTTGCATAGAAAGTGAGAAGCTTACCTCCAGAACAGGGTAAACATATCTATGAAAAGGTATTCCCCACAAAGCCTGGGCATGTGTGCAGCCCAGGACCCTGGATACTCCAGCTGGATCAGTGCTGAAGCTAGAACAGGTGATCTCTCTAATTCTCTTTCTTCCTTTCTTTCTCTCTCACACTCTTTAATTCATGTCTCTCTCTTTCTTCCCTTTCACCCTACCCCTTATCCAAAACCCGCTGCTGTGGGCTTATGCTGGGAGGTCAGGGACTTGAATAACAATGTCCTTGCCAAGTGTGTAAATTATTAATAAAACTCTATAAGCTTTTGCAGAACCTCTGACTTTTGCCATTCCTTTCAACCACGAACGTCTACGAATCTTCGGTTCTCCCTTCTCCTTAAGGGTGGGACACCACATTCTCACAGCTTCAAGTGCTTGCTGTGTGGCATAGATCACTTTTCTAAACTGTATACATTTTGGTCTCATATGTATATGTGTGTGTATATATATATATGTGTGTGTGTTTATACTTAAAATCTCCTGCAAATCAGTTGGCTATTTTAGAATTCCAATGCAGTCCTACATCACTTCCCATTTTTAGAGCCCTGGGGGTTTGTTACTACAAGTTTCTGCTTATGATTTTAAAAGTCTCACATTGCCTGCCTTTAAGAAGGCTGTTCT